ACATATTTACATATTTATGTATGTATATATACATATATACATATTTAGTTTCTTTTGACTCATCAAAGCAGAGAAAGTGTGGCGGCAGGGGCATGAGGCAGCTGGTCACACTGCATCCTCAGTCAGGAAGCAGGGACAGACAAACGCTGGTGCTAGCTCCCTGTCTCCTTTTTATTCCGTCCAGGACCCCAGCTCATGGAATCATGCCACCTACATTCAGGGTGGATCTTCTTAATTAACCCAGTCTAGACAATCCCCCGTAGACAGGGCCAGAGATTTGTTTCCATAGAGGTTCTAAACCCCACCAAACCTGACACTCAAAGTTAACCATCACACCCTCCAAATCCAACTTCCCACTGCTACTCACAGTATGCCTAGCATCAGGGTTATCCCACAGATGCTCTCTCCAGAGTCCTTAACTGACAGAGAAGAGAAAGCACCAGACGCTCCTCTGGAAGGGGAGGCACAAGCCTTCTCCTTCTCCCCTTCACTGGTGGGCAGGCCTGCAGCCTCAGGCAGGGCCTAAGTGGGGAACTGAGAGAATGTTTAGGAGGAGATGGACTGCCAGAATCCCAACATGGGCAGCCTAGCCTTCGCTATCTACACACAAGCGCCCGTGTCTGAGGGAAGCCAGTTGCAGTTCCACTACAGGGTTCTTGTTTTCACAGTCCTAAGTCCCAGTAATCCTAAGTCACTTAGACTCTTTGTTCAGTTCACACAATCCATAAGACATACTTACACAAATATCACATTTTCAAGAAGTAAAAAAAAAATGAATTATACGTATTTGTGGAGGAGTAGGTGAAGGAAGAAGAGGAGGAGGAGGAGAAGGAGGAGGAGAAGGAGGAGGAGAAGGAGGAGGAGGAGGAGGAGGAGGAGGAGGCTGTCTACATGAGTGCAGGTGTCCTTGAGGGCAGACACACTGGATCCCCTGGAGCTGGGATCACGGGCAGTTGTAAGGCACCTGACACAGGGGATTCGAACTCGAGCCCTGTGCAAGAGCAGGACAGGATCTTAACCACGGAGCCAGCTCTCCAGCCCCTAAATATATCTCATAATGCCTGCTTTTTACATTTTCTTCCCCAAATTTACAGTAAGGAGCGCTTTACTGTTTCTCCAAAAGAAGCCAACACATAATTTCTATGATTTATTGAGCTACTGAGCATGCTAAGAGACAAAGTGACAGTTGCCCTACAAATTATTTGGTGCCTGTGATTTTCTGAGCACCACAGCCAGATGGTTCTCACAGAAACTGAGAGGAGCCTGTTCCCGCAGTTCAAAGGTTTGCTTATTTTTCAGTCTTGAAGTCTTAAAGACGATATTGATTGCAGCACTATGGCTCTACAGGAGGAGCTGGCTGGGGAGGGCCACGCTGGAATTTATTACCAAACAATGCTCATTATGGCTGTCTCTGACAGGGGTCCATTAAAATCAATTTTTATGTTTCTTATGTATTTTCTTTATCTAATGTTCTTGGCATTGTGTTTATTAGCCAGTTAAGACAAACACCCAGCATAGGAGTTTGTGCTTTTTCTTCTCTCTTTTTTTTTTGTTTCGTTTTGCTTTTTTTTTTCTTCTCCTCTCAGAAATAACAAGAATTGTCGCTTTAATGCTGCCATTCATGGCCAGCAAACAGAGGACGAGAGGAAGGAAGTTCAGCGCTACGTTTTAGGATGAGATGTTCGGGAGTGCTTTCAATTTGGTTTTTTTTTTTTTTTTTTTTTTTTTTTTTTTTTACAATTAGAAAAAGATGGTAAGGACCACGCAAAGAGGAACACGTGTTCTCCGAGGACCATGTGCTCTGCAGTCACCTGGTTAAAGACTCCTTCTACACCTTAGCAGTGATCACTCCTGGCCTGGTACCACCTTGGGAAGCAGCAGAGTGCCCCAACAGAGCTAATGATCTGGACTAGGGAGAAGTGGCTGACAGACCCTGCCAGGCTCGATTTAAAACCTCTGAGGTAAGTCACATGATTGAGAGACCTGTTCATGCCTCTATATCATGTGTTCAAGAACCAAAGCGTTCACCATGGGTGGGGAAGACGGCTCAGTCAGTAAATGCTTGTTTTATAATCACGAAGAGCTCGAGAATCCATGTGAAAAGCTGGCACCGTGGCACTCGCCTGTAATCCCTATGCGGGGAAAGTAAAGACAGGCAAATCCCCTGAGGCTTGCTCACTGGCTAACCTAGCCTAATGAGTGAACTCCAGGCCAATGAGAGACTCTGTGTCAAAAGACAAGGTAGGAAGCACCCGAGGCTGCCCTCTGGCTTCCATATGCACACATATACACATGTACCCACAGGGAGACACTTACACATAGATACACACACACATACACACACACACACAAATGCTCACTGTTCATAGAATTCAACACCTCTGCAAAAGAATGTATGCACCAAATGCCTGAGAGCTCCCATCAAAGTCATGCCCCCAGGGCTTATGAGCTATTCCAGATTACTGGGTTGCCAAAGACACCACAACTCAGAGACGGTTTTCAGAGATGCTCTGTTTATGGGTGGTGGCACCAGGCTCTGTATTACTCTGTGACCAGTGGAAAAGATCCACTGGCTCCTGCCTTCTGCACATGCCACTCACACGGCGCCCATGCTTACTGCTCACACTTACTCAGTGCTCGGGGTCTTTCCGCGGAGGAATCGTATCCCATGCAGGCCCTGTTCGCAGCCAGACAGCTCCATCTTCCCCAAAGGGCTGTCCAACACTGTGTATTTCATTTTGCAGGTCTCAGCCATTCTGCCAAGTTCCTAGAGAGAAGCAATTTTTAAGTCGGGAAAGGAAGTGGTCATTTATAAAGCACGGTAGAAGCACTGGTTGCGTAACACAGAGGACGGGCTCCAAAGCTTCCCCTCCTGTTGGGATTTAATCATCAGCTACTTTTACAATACAGCCACTTTCCACAATAACCGGGGTCACCCAACTAGTGCCTACTTCTCTCTGGTCCTCTAAAATTACAATGGCTCTATCTCTCCCCGCTGTGCTGTCCTTAACTAAAGCAGACTTGGAGGAGGCTGAACTAGTGTAAGTTTTTTTTTTTTTTTTTAAACTACCGGAAACTCAGCAAGCTCTGGCGAAGACGACTGCCAGAAAACCTGTGTGAATAAGGCACATTGGTAAGGGAAGCAGGAGGCTGGGGTGGAACACGAGGGGCAGACCACTTGTCCAGCCTGTGCCGGGTTTAGTATCATCTTTATATGACAGATTTGAGAGAGAGAGAGAGAGAGAGAGAGAGAGAGAGAGAGAGAGAGGAACCTGTATGAAAGGCATTATAGAAAATGATGGGAGGAGATCTGGCCCAGTGGGGACACAGGACACCTGTGTCAGCAGGTGGGTGGAACACGAATGAATGAGGCTGTGCAGAGGGGGCAAACTTGACTTCCGCAGAAACTGCAGATGCCAAAGAGCTAAAAGCTGCACAGAGGGTATTTTTGTACTCCCTTCAAGCTCCTCTTCCTTCCAAACTCCTTGTCTGGCTCCTGGAAAGAGAGGACTCTCGTTCCCTTTCTGTCCACCAATGAATCCCAGAACCCCCCCCCCCCGATACGCACACACACACACATACACACACACACACACACACACACACACACACACACACACACACCACTAACGAACCTGGCGCCCTTGGCCCCAGGCTTAGGGCGAGATGGCTTGCTGCCTCTGCTTCGCTGGCCCAGAACTACTTCCATTTACCTTGCCCAGTCACCACCACCACCCCCCCAGAAAGATCTACTTGGCGTGGGTTATTACAGAGCGCATCATGACCTATCCATCTCCTAGAATTCCTTCCCAGGTCACACCCTCATGCACCTGAGCTTCCCAAACACTGGATCCTGGTATTTCTAGCTCCTTAGCCCCACCTGGGAACATATAGAATATACAGAACAAGTCAATTGCTGAGGACTTCCAGGGGTAGAACATGGTCAAAAATCATAGCCCACCATCCACATCTGGCTGACACAGCCCCATTCCAAGTCCCCCCCCCCAACAGTCTCCCAGTCTCTCTGTCTGTTCCCCCCCCCCATGTGTGTATACTTGTATAACAGGCATTGTCAGAACATGGCCACACCCTCCCCCCTTTGTTCACCTACAGTCCATGGCTGCTTTTCTTCTGCTCCCAAGCTGTGACAGAAGCAGGGTGACCTCCAAAGCCCACCACACTTATCCTCGGATCTCAAGAAAAGAGGTCTGCTGACCCCTCCAAGGTCCATATACCCCACTGCAGCAATCCCGAAGCTACAGGTTATCCCCACATGCAGTATCCCTTTGCATTCCCTCCTGCCTGTCCACTGGGTTTCTGTGCTGCCCGATGCTGCCTGAGATCTGTGTCATTCACATGCTTCTGATACCACGGCTTCCCTCCCTCTCCTCTCTCCCCTTCAGCCTGGCCAGAGACAATGCTTCCCAAACTAGACAAGGCATTCCCAAATAATACGCGGTCCTTAGCATCATGCCCCAAAGTTTCCCTGCACAGCACCCCACTTCCTAAACACAAGGCAAGAATTTGAAAGGGCCCTCTCCTCCAGGGCCTCAGGGTATGAGCCTGCTGGGAGATCTCAGCCTCAGGCCACTTGTCACAGTTTACAGAGGCCCCTCCTGTCCATACCTGGCTTCTGTAACACCCACTCTGGGAACAGCCCACTGACTGCAGGGAAGGTACTAAATTCTCAGGGCACCGGCTTCAAGCTCAAGTTGATGGCGGATGAAACAAGCTATCCTGGACACAAGAACTTGGGGTTGCCATCTGGACACAGGGGCATACACCTGGTATAGCCAATATCCCAGTCAAATCCAAACACAGAGGGTACAAACTTCTGAATGCAAAAGTAGGGAGATCCAGAGGCGTACACCCTTTAGAATTAGGCCCAAGGAGCCATGGTGGCTCCAATAGCCCAATATTTTATATCTGTGCTTATGTCTGAGTTGTGCACATAAGTGCACAAAAGAGAGTGTCAAATCCCCCTGAGCTGGAGCAACGGGTGCTTGTGAACCAACAATGTTGATGCCAGAATCAGAATTTAAGTCCTCTGGAAAAGCAGCAAGGGCTTTTAACCACTGGGCCATTTCTTCAGCCCCCAACAGCCTACTTCAAGTGTTTGCTGACAACAGTGGCCACAGGAAATGTGCACATACTCTACCCTGCAGGTCTCCAAGGATGGCAGACTTAGGCACAGTAGCTTGCTTAAGTCACCTACATGGGATATCCCCATGGTCAGTCCAGGACCCAGCTGGGCTAATTATAGCTCTCCACTTGGCAGAACCCAGAGCATGGCTCCTGTACCTACATTCCCTGCATCATCACTGTGGCATCCACCAAAAGCCACAAGAGGGGCTGACATTAATTGGTGGCAGAAAAAGAATCGATTTTCCACGGCTATTTGGAGACCTCTGAAGAATGAAGTGGATTTCTTTTCATCTCTCCCTTTAACATGAAGGGCGTTTAAATAGCAATGTTCTGAACTAAGCAGCTGGCGCCAGAGGCCAGTTCCCACCAAGGTATTAAAAGCCAGGGACCCACAGGCAGCAGCTCCCTTCCCTCTCTGCTCGACCTCACCAGGCCTTCCAGAACTGTCTTCACTGCTGCACTGCACCTTCGCCAGTAAGTGTTTCCATGTGACTCTCAGGAGCAGGCTTCAGGCCTGCCAGAATCCAGGGGTATAGGAAGTAGGTGTCCTGCTAGTCTGAGAGGGACAATAGGTACAGGATCAGACCTCAGGTCCTGCCAAAGTCAGTGGGAAACACAAAGGTCCTGTGGGGTTTCCCTGCCAGCCGGGGGCTAGGAAGGAAGCACCAGAAGAAGCATTAGTCCCCAGCTCCCATATCCACCTCGGCAGTAGGTTTGGGGAAACCCCAGAAGAGAGCACACCATGCATTCATGTCACCTGATCCTAAAACCCTGGGAGGCTGGGAGAGAATGGGATTGGCTGGCCAACTGGGGAAGCCCAAGAGGAATACGACAAGGGTACAGAAGCAAAGTCAGGGCTGATGCCCACCCGTGATGCCCACCAGACCAGGAGCCTCCCAGGCAGAGCTATGAGTTGTCCCATTGAACAGAAAACAATCCCTCTGTCCCTCGGACTGAAAGCGGGGCATGGGTAGAGGCTATTATTATAAAAGTGAACAGGCTGAACTGTCATTCTGAGATCACTGCAAAGCCACCAACTACAGCTTGGCCTTCAGGCCACTGAAGGAAAGAGATGAGTGTTCAGGGCTGTGACTAAACTTCCTTGCAGGCAGTGATGTGTGCATAATCAGAGGTGAATTCTGCCCTGCGATGACAACAGTGGCTACCTATCTGCTGGGGTCACTATTGCTGTGACGAAACACAACTTGGGGAGGAAGGGGTTTATTTCATTCATGGGTCCACATTAACAGTTCATCATCAAAAGCTGTGTGGACAGGAACTCAGGCAAGGCAGGACCCTGGAGGCTGAAGCTGATGCAGAGGCCATGGAGGGGTGCTGTTTACTGGCCTGCTCCTCATGGCTTGCTCAGCCTGCTTTCTTATAGAATCCAGGACCATCACCTCAGGCAAGGCCCCGCCCACAATGGACTGAACCCTCTCCCACCAATCACTAATTAAGAAAATGCTCTATAAGCTTGCCAACAGCCCAGTCTTATAGAGACATTTCTTAATTGAGGTTCTCTTCCTGTTCTCTGATGATTCTAGTTTGTGTCAAGTTGGCATAAAACTAGCCAGCACACCATCCTCCTTGCATTCCTGTTACCATGGTAACAGACCCTGACCCCCCCACACACAAAAAAAAAATAAAAAAACAATTTTGGGAAAGAAGTTTACTTGGCTTACAATCCAGGTTAAGGCTCATCGCTTCATGGGGATCTAGGCAGGAACGAAAGCAGCTGCTCACATTCAGTCAAGAGCAGAAAGAATGGATGTACGCACGCCTGCTGCTCAGCTCACTTTCTCGTTCTCATCAAGTCCAGGGCCCCAAACTAGGGGATGGTGCCGCCCACAGTGGGTAATCTCACATCCATCAACAGGCAGTACAATCCTCCACAGACTCCAGGCCAGTCTTCTCTAGACAATCCCTCCCTGTGAGTTTCTCCCCAGGTGACTGGAAGTTGTGGAAAGTTGACATATACCAAACCATCACAACACTTTCCAGAAGAGGAGGCTGCCCTCTGGCTGTATCCTGCTCCTTGTCTCAAGCTTGACGAGAGGTTCAGGGTGTGGGACTATAAGATGTATTGCAACAACCCTTTTTGGTAGCTGGCACTCTAATGGGGAAGAACATTCCAACACCCAGAGACTTGGCAGCTAGGGATTGAGGCAGACTAAACCCGTGTAGTATATCCCAGAAGCAGCTCAGACCTACGTTCATTAAAAGAATCCCGTCATCTCGCATGCAGCAAGACACAGCACAGACACCAAAGGGCTTGTACAACACAGGACAGCTGAGGGACTTGTTCTCTGGTCTGCAAACCAAGGTCTCTAGATTCAAACTGGTACCGTCTACACTTAGAAATCACACTTAAAGTCTAGTTTCCCACCCCAAATGTCACACTGGTGCCTCCCTGGAACTGAACAGGAGCAGATGAGTGAAGAGCCTGCTTTTTTCCTCTCATAGTGGGAGCCAGCAAGACTAGGTAGCAGGGAGAAAAATCAGCACCCCCCTCACCCCGTGTGTGTGTGTGTGTGTGTGTGTGTGTGTGTGTGCGCGCGCGCGCGCATGCATAGCAGATCAAGCTAAGTGCAGCAAGTGTGTATATGAACAGAATTAGCAGAC